TTGAATCTAATATTTCTAGTTATTCTGAAGAACAGCTTGATGAATTAGAAGAAATAAAAAAAATATTTGAGGAAGCAAATAAAAAAACCTTTAATCCTTCAACAATTACAGCAACTGTTCATCCAAATGCTGTTTATACAAGTAAATTATTGAATTTTACAAATCTTCCTCAACCTGTAAACTCCAATGAAGTTACAATTATTAGTAATAATAATGGTAATTATCAACTATTTGATTATCAATTTAAATTCAATATCAACATTAATGTTAACATAAATTATCACATCTACAGTTTCTCACCTAATGGATATAAATATTTAAATTATTGGAATTTTTCACATTAGTTTTTTTATCTTTTTTATTACCATTACAAGAAAGTAATTTACATTATTAATGATAATGGGAGTTCATATTAAAGTCATGTGAGAATCATTATTGTATGATTTTATAATAGTTTTTATTTTATTAATTATTTTTGAACATAAAATCTAAATTAATTTGTTTAGACTCTCTAAAACTCTGACTTATTGTTTTTTTTTTAATTCTTGTAAATTATTTAATAAGTGATCCTCCACTATAAACTTTGGCACTTGTTCTTGTTATATATAAGTAAGAAGGTTTATGCAACTTTTTGATGCATTGTTAGTATTAATATGAATAATATTTTCTTCCTTCTCCTCCTCTTCTTAGTTATGTTTTATAGCTTCATCAAACCAAATTGCTAGAGTTTCTTCTAATTGTGACCAATTTGCTTGCTGATTCTTTTTAAATTGAGAAGTTGAAACAGTTTCATCAACAGAAAGCCATTTGTTTGATTTTGATAAAATTACTGAAACTGTGTTTTGACTAATTTCAAAATCTTTAGCTAATTTATCTTGAGTTAAGCTAGGATCATTTTTAGCACACTTACATAGTTCTTTTTTTTTGCAAAACACTTAAAGGACTTCTTTTTTTTGGATGAAGGTCCAGAGGTTGAAGTCATTTTTAAAACAAAATTTAATTCTGATTTTTAATAATTCATTGTCTAATTAACCAATTAGTCATATTAATCATCAGAAGTGATCAAGTATTTTTGATTGGTTCTCTCGTTATACTGACATGTTATTATAACGGGTGTCAGTATAACGGGATAAATTCTATAAAAAATCATTTTTGACAAATTATGTCATTATACTAACTATTATAACGGGATAAATAGTGAGTGTCATTATAACGGGCATAAATTTATCGTTTGTGTGCGTAACCATTGAGGTCCACAATACGCATCATCATTATGATGTCATAATGTGTAAAATTATAAAATTTCATAAAAAAATTTAGTAAGTTAAAAAAGATATGGACGAACTTCCAAATGCAACAAAAGTATACAAGTTATCAAAACAAGAATACGATACTTTGTTGGAGGCTAGTAAATTATATAATAAACATTGTGTGTACGTTTTATATATTTACCTTTTTTTTTTCTTGAAGAAATCTGTTGTTTTAACTTTTGTAATTTAGTAAAAATTGGGTCATTTGTTGGTTTTGTTGCTGGTGGTATAGCTGGTATATATATATTTTATAAGTAAACAAAATCATTTAAATCGTTTAAAATTTTTTCTTCTAATCATATTTAAATTAAAAAAAAGCTCGCATAAAAAAATTTAGGCCTGGTGCAACGATATTAACATGTTTTGGTAAATATCATGAGACAATTTTTATTTTCTATCTCCCTTCTCTAGTGGGGCAAACAAAGTTATTAGGTCTATGTCTTTAATAAAATGATAATTGAATTGAATTAAACAGTAACTACGCTGATTGGGTCTACTATTGGAAGTGCCAATGGAATGGTTGTAGGTTATAGAACTATACAAACATTACCAAATAAACAGAATGTTTATATGATAATAAGAGATTTACAGTTCAGTTTATCTATAATTTTTTCATTTTTTTTTTCACCAAAAGTAATTTTAATTCTTAAAATTTGTAGCCAAGAAATGTTAAAGATGAAATTACCACAACATAGCAAAATCAAATTAGAAAAGGAAAAGACAGATCAAGCTACTAATGATGGTAATGATGATAAATATAATCAACCTGACATTTTAAATACCACTTTATCAGGAAGTTACGCTGAAATTGGTATGTTTAAAATAGCAACATACATTTATTTTTTTAACATCCTAATTTATTTTGCCTATTTAGATCATTCATCATCATCATCATCATCAAAAGATCATAATCATCAAGAAAATAATGATTGGAATAAAACTGAGTCCATGAATTCAAAACCGCTATCTTCATGGGATAGAATTCGTGAAAAGGTTAAATTAGAACAACAGAAAGCAAAACATAAACAGAATATAAATAATAATACAACGGAAAATCTTAATAATGATAACTTATTTTCAAGTTTTCAAAAATCATGTACATACAAAGATGATAATAACAATAATGATTATGATTATGATAGTAATGATAATGTGAAAAAAAATCATTATTATTTTCCAAGAACAACCGAAGAATTTAATAAAACTGGAAATAAAAATATCAAAAGGAATGAATATGGTGACATTATATAATTCAAATAAATAATTTTATATTATTGATTGCTTGTTATAACAATAATTTTAATAAATACATCTTTAAAAATAATGAACATTAAAAAATTATTTACTTTTTGGTCAATATCTTGGACAATCAATTTCTTCAACCAAACCCCACATTTCTCTAACAAGACGTATTTGACTTTGTCTTGAATTTTCATCACTCGAACAAGGTAAACCGCCTCTAATTGCTAAAAATTTACGCCCAAGTATATTAACTGGACCTTCATCTGGACCTTGTCCATTCACCATAATACCGCCAGCTTCTTGAAGAATCACAATACTAGCTGCCACATCCCTTTAAATAATAATTAAAATTTAAATAATAATATTATAACAGTCTATTTAATTTATTATGTTGTATAAATGTAAATATTACCATTCCCAACATCCAATTTCCCAATAAACATCAAAATGTCCTTTAGCAACTGTGCAAATATTAAGTGATGCACACCCAAGACTTCTAATACTTCGAACCAATCCACCTTTTTTAGAATTCAAAGTAGCATCATCTGGTTTTGTCAATAAATTATATACAGATTGAGTTTTTTTACCAATAGTTATTGGTAATCGATCACTCCCATATTCAGTAGCCACTAAACATTGAGACAAACTTGAGGGTAATGGTAATGGTGGATATGAATAAGTTAAAGGTAATTTTGTGTTGAGATTAAGATAAGCTCCTTGACCTTTACTTGCAGTGTAAAGCTAAAAAATAAGCATAGACATAATTAATATTTGTGCATCTAAAATTAAAATTATAAGCAAAAAAATTTTTTATTCACTTCATTAAGAAATGGGTTAAACACAACGCCAACAACAGGCTCTTTGTTGATTGTTAAACCAATTGATACTGCAACAAATGGGAATCTAACAAAAAAAAAATTTTAAATTATTAATTCACATATTTATATTTATAGCATTGGAGCATTTACCCATGAACAAAGTTTGTGGTTCCATCTAAAAAATTAAAATAAAGAAAATTCACCAATGTAATTAATACTCTTTTAAATAGATGACATTAAAGTATTAAATAATACAATTTTTAATTCAATATTAAAGTTATAAAAATACTGCTTACCTATAGGATCAATGATCCAAGTTGGTTTGCTCGTGAATTCGTATTTATTGTTTGTTGAAGTCATTTCTTCAGCAATAAATCTTTTAATTAAAGATAATTTTAATAATTAAAGATAAATAAAAAACCTTTTTACAACAATTGATTGATTTACTTGTGTTCAGGAAAAGTTTTATTAATCCTTGACTTTATGAAGTCTTCAACTTGTCTATCTGTTTCTGTTACCAAATCTGCCGAATTTCCTGCTTTAGAGTAAACTTTACTTTGTGTTGAGTAACGTGCTTTCGAAGCTTCCAAAATAATTTTGCCACTTTCTCGAGCAAGTGAAACTGCAAAATCAAGATAATCTTTTAATCCTAAACATTAAAAAAATTTAAAAAAATTTAATATTTGTATTCAATTAATTACTATTATTTATTTATTACAATGTTAGGATTAAATGATAGTTTGACTGGTCTAAACTCTTGCTACTTAAGGATTTTTGCTTTTGAATTTACTATAAAGAAATTCTAACATTGTAATATTTATTTAATACTACCGGAAGACATTTTATTAAATATTAATATTATTAATTCGTGATCCACAAGGATTTTAATCAAGTGTCATTAAAAAAAAAATCTCCGTTTTTCATATGGCAAGCGATTTTCAACCATAATAAAAATTTTCTAACTTTTTAACAACAATTAAAAAAAGGTCAGCTTAGATATTGGTTATTCTACGCCAGGTCTTTTCTTCACACTTATTTTAAGATTATCGCTCAACTAGTATGCAGGCTAAAAGCAAATTCAGCAGCAACAATTATGCCAAAGTGATCCCTACAAAGTCGCTTACAACCACTTGAAGGTTGTGTTTGCTTTTAATTATAAGGGACTGATTTATAGTTATTTATAGGGTTATTAATTTATTTAGAATTTGTATTTATAAATTTTAAAAAATGTCATTATAACAAGATTGTCATTATAATCATTATAACGGGAGTGACTTGTATTTTAGAAATTATCCAATTAAATCAAAAATTTATGTTGATGATTTCTAAATTTATCCTAGTAACACGATGAATTTTATACATTAGTCACGTGGGTTGCATTTATGGAGAGAGTTTTCATATAAAATACCGTGAAGTGCAGAGTATGGAGGGTGTGCATTTATGGAGGGTGCAGGTATGGAGGTCTGGCTGTAGTTATTATGCGAGTTTTTGCATGATGATTAAAAATAGGTGTATGAATACTTCAATTCTCAAGGTATTTTTAATATCACAACTATAGTAAAAAAAAATAATTTTAATTTTAATTTTAATACATAATAAAATGACAAAATTAATTTATTCAGGTAATTAATTCATCTGATATAATTCAATCTGTTGAGAATCTAAAAAAAAAAATTTACAAACAAGAGTGAATGTTAATAAAAATGAAAATAATCAATGATTAATGTTAATAATTACCATTATTATTGCCAATAATTGTTACTTTATTGGAATTCACAGGTTGGGGAAGGCTTGTAAATTTTAATAGTCTGCTAGTATAAACAGCATTTGGATGAATTACTGTAGTAATTGTTGAAGGATCAAATTTTATTTCATCCATTTCATCAAAAATTTTCCTAATTGTTTTTAATTTATCATGCTCTTTCTTTGAATATCTATATGAACTATACCAAATTTTAGCTTTGGAATATTCAAATGAACTATACCAAAATTCAATAATCTTATAAATTTCATCAGCAGTTGGACGTTTATCTGGATTAGCATCCATGCATCTGAATGCTAGTTCAATATAGAATTTTGGTGTGTTATTTGAGAATCCTGGTCTTGCACTTCCACATATTTTCATTGCAAGATCTACATCATGTGCCAAATTATTAAAAGGTTGTTGGCCAGTTGATACTACAGACATCAGAACTCCCAAACTGTGTATATCTGATGCTTTTGTATATGGTTTCTCCCTTAAAACTTCTGGTGCAACATATGGTAGTACTCCAAATATATCATTTTTGTTTGATGCAGATGTTTGACTAGCTGAACATGATAATCCCAAGTCTGTAATATATGACTGCATATAATTTTTATATTTAGCTTGAAGAATGTTGCCACTATGAAGATCATGATGAATAATTCCTTCTTCATGAATAAATTCTAAACCTCTAATAATTTGTCTAAGAATTTCAATTTTCTGTTTCCATTTTAAATCTTTAAAATCTTTAGTTAAATAATTTTGAAGACTTCCACCATCTATATATTTCATCACAAATATATATTCTTTTGTAATTGAATCTTGTGTTAATCCATAAATATGAATTATATCTGCTTTATCATGAAACTTCATGTAATTTTTGAACTAAAATGACAAATAAATATTTAATTACAACAATAATGATTAAAAAAATTTGAACCATCATTAATAAAATAATTTACCTCATTAAGAAATTCGTCAGAAATATTCTGTGAATTATGTAATTTTTTTAATGCCACAGTCCTATCACTACTAATTCTTTTGTGATTTTCATCATTTCCATATTTATAACCATTTAACCAAGTAGCTTTGTATATAGTTGCAAAACCACCTTCACCTATCTTTTCAATATTTATTAAATCATTATAAGGAATCCATTGAAGATGATTACTATAATGATAATATGTTGCTATAAGTTGTGTACTTTTAATTATACATGATATGGTAATTAGCTAATTACCGTAAATACGTAATTCGTAATTAACGTAATTAATTACCACTTTCACTC